AGTTCAACCTCTGTGGAAAGCAATATGGAGATACCTTAAAGCGATACAAGTGGATCTACCATTTGATCCAGCAATCCCATTACTGGGCATCTACCCAAAAGATCCAATGAGACTCTACAAAAAAGACACCTTCACCTGAATGTTTATAGCAGCACAATTAATAATTGCAAGGCTGTGGAAACAGCCCAAGTGCCCATCAATCCAAGAATGGATTAATAAAATGTGGTATATGTATACCATGAAGTACTATTCAACTCTAAGAAACAACGGTGATATAGCACATCTTATATTTTCCTGGTTAGAGCTGGAGCCCATACTACTAAGTGAAGTATCCCAAGAATGGAAAACAAGCACCACATATACTCACCAGCAAACTGGTATTAACTGAGCAGCACCTAAGTGGACACATAGGTACTACAGTAATAGGGTATTGGGCAGGTGGGAGGGGGAAGGGGGGCGGGTATATACATACATAATGAATGAGATGTGCACCATCTGGAGGATGGTCATGTTGGAAACTCAGACTTGTGGGGGAGGGGGGAAGTTAATAAAGAAATAATGGAACTGTAAAACAAAACTCTGGAACAATTGGGTCTGACTGACATCCTACAGACATTCACCCCAATCCACTGACTATACATTCTTCCATCAGCTCACGGGACAATTCTCTAAGATTGACCATATCCTAGGACACAAATAAATCTAAAAGAAATTTTAAAATAGAATCATACCATGTATTTCTCATATCACAGTGTGAATAAAATTAAATCAACGCTAATAGAAACTCACATTTCTACACAAAAAATGGGAAATTAAACAACCTCCTACATAAATGACTTACTTTAAATGAAGAATCAGATCGGAAATAAATCTTTGAACAAATGACAATGGAGAGACAAATTATCAAATCCCCTGGGACACAGCTAAAGCAGTACTGAGAGGAAAAGTTTATTTCCATAAATGCTATAACCAAAAGTCAAAAAGATCACAGAGACCATTAAGAACGATCAAAAGAGCTGGAAAAGAAGAATAGCCAACCCCAACCCAGCAAGAAGAAGTGAAATTAACAAGATCAAATCCAGAACTAAATGAATTGACAACAGGAAGCTAATACAGGAGATTAATAAAAACAAAGTTGTTCTTTGAAAAAATAAAAAACAGACACACTTAGCTAGGCTAAGAAAACAGAAAGAGAAATCTCCGAAATAAGCTCCATCAGGAACAAAGGAATATCACAACTTGATTCCAAGGATATACAAGCATATAATTATAATGAAATACAAAAAAACCTTTACGCACAAATGACGAAATGTGGAGGAAATGGACAAATTTCTAGAACACAGTCTCCCTTAGCTCAACAAGGAAAGAAATAGAATTCCTGAACAGACAATATCAAGAGTCGAAATAGAACAGCAAATTAAAATTTCCTAAAAGAAATCCGCAAGTCAAGATGGGTTCACACCTGAATTTTAAACATAACAAAGAAGAATTGTGCTATCTTGCAGAAACAGACTGACCAAATATCAACAAAAGGGACCCTCCTACAGGCTGTGAGACACAGGAGGGAAATTACATATAAAGGAAAATCAATCCGAATAACTCCAGATTTCTCAACTGAAACAATACAAGCAAGGAGGGAATGGGGACCCACTTTCACTCTTTTAAACAAAATAATGCCCAGCCTAGAATCTTGTACCCTGCAAAATTAAGCTTCATATATGAAGGAGAAATTAAGACATTCTCAGATAAGCAAAGTCTCAGAGAATTCACCAAGACAAGACCAGCCCTACAAGAAGTACTCAAAACAGTGTTACGCACAGAATACCATAATAAAAACTCACGAATATAAAAACAACCAAAACCCAAAGATTAAAGGCCAGATACTACAGTGGCTCAAGAGAGAAATCAAAGCAACATCCAACCCAACAGAATGAACAGTAATTTACCTTACCTATCAGTTTCTCAATAAATGGAATGGCTTAAACTCTCCACTCAAGAGACATAGGCTGGCTGAATGGATAAGAAATACAGGCCAAGTATATGCTGTCTTCAGGAAACACATCTAACCTGCAAGGATGCATATAGACTAAAAGTAAAAGGGTGGAGATCAGTATTCCAAGCAAGTGGAAGCCAAAAGAAGGCTGGCGTGGCAGTTCTAATTTCAGACGATTTAGTTTTTAAACCTACAAACGTAGTGAAAGACAAAGATGGTCATTATATAATGGTGAAAGGCACAGTTCAACTAGAAGAGATAACAATTTTAAATATATATGCACCCAACTTAGGTGCACCCAGATTCATAAAGCAAACCTTACTGGATCTAGCAAATGGATTAATAGCAACTCCATAATCACCGGAATTTCAACACCCATTTTTGAAACTTTAAAATTTGTACCCCCATAATATGCCAAAAAGAAAAAAAGAACTGTGGTTAATTTATTATAGCAACGAAAATACAAAAGTGCAGGAGAGTAAAATTCTCTGCTGGGAAATAACTATTTCATGAGAGTTTTCATCAGTGTTTCCCTGAGGGTGGAACATACAACGGAGGGCCAGGGTACCGGCAAACCCTCAGGGCCTTCCTTAATCCTGTGCAGTATCTGAAATATTTATGCTGGCAACAGTTTACTGACACAAACTTAACCTGGGGAGCGCTGAGTGTCTCTGGGAATGCCGATTAAGGAAGAACAAACATAATTACTTCCAGTATGTCTCACTCGTTTCATAAGGTGAAAGAACAAACCTTTGTGAATTTTCCGGACCCTCTGGGAAGTTTCAGAGAATGTTTTAGCTAAGGATAAAAAGTTTTATTTTACTGTTTCTATATTGAGGATCTGATCTCAGGAAGGAAAATCAAAAGAGTTGTCAGAGATTTGGGCACTTGAGTCAGAGAGCATCATGGGTGTTCAAGAAACAATTCTTGCTAGCCCTTTCATCAGTAGTAGTAAAAACAAATTTTAGAGTAAACTAGAAGGCGATGTGATTTTGAGGAACTTCATCTCTTTCACAGGTGAGGTTTCATATATGTTTTGCTTTTTAATAATTAAGGACATAGCACAGCCAGCAGAAAGGGCAGACATTGTTCTGGTAAGATACAGACCATCTGCTGTCTAGGCAGATGATATGGGAAGAAAAAATAGCCCTTCATGCTGTAGGTGAAGGCAGCAAACCCATCAAAAGTGAGTAAATTTGCCAAGATTTTAACATATTTCTTGGTTTCTTTTCAGAATCGGGTATTATAAACCAAGACAAATAAAACTCACTTTTTTGGTTTTTCACTGCACTCTTTCATATTCTGGAATAAAATTCCCCTTTATGGCCTCACAAAATAAAAGCACACATAGTTGTATTTCTTTGTCATTATTGCTTTGTGTAGCACAACCACCTGTATTAATAACTTGTCCAGAGTAACCAACTTCTATTTCACAGAAACAGCTGGGTATCTGGCAGAAACCTGAGAACTGCCCAGGCAAGCGTTTCTGCAGGCTGGCGAGGCGTGTGGACGCACACCTCACATGTCCGCGTGCACACGTGCCTCTTACTCCTTAGAGTGGCAGATACGAACACGTGTCACCCGACCCAAAGATACTGCCTTTCTGCAGCATATAAAAATAAACAAAAGTATGTAACCTTAAAAGTATGTTTAGTCATTTATTTTAATATGTATCTCACTTAGAAATTTACCTAGGTGGCCAATGGTTACCCACTAATTAGCTCCATTCAATGTCAGTTCCAGGTTCTAAATCATCTAAAGGTCTTAGAAATTTATTTAGTTTCTTGTATTACAAAACTTAGGCTGATGTGATAAATGTGTCTGAATAATGATTCAACTTAGAGTAATACCAATTTCCAGTTTTTGTAATAGTAACGTTATATTAGAATAATGTTTGTTTTTTGATCAATAAACTAGGAAGCCCAGACTAACTACTTTCTTCATGAGAGACCAAACCTAATAAAATATGCATTTGTATTATATTTAACACTGATCAAAGAAGTTTTTTTAAAAACCACAAATTATCAGCTAATCTGATATGCTAGAAGTTTACCTTAATTATGTGCACTTGGATTTATAAAATGTTTCTAAGTTAACAGTTTCTGTATGAATGGCTTTTTAAAGCCTAAAATGTTGAAAGTATCAGAAGTTAGAAATATTGGATTTATATAAGTGCTTATTTTTCCTATAAACTAATCAAAACAGAGGTCCTTTGATTTAGGAGAGATAATAATCTAATTTATTAATATATTTCACACTCATGATGTGATCAAGGCTTTTCTCAGTTATATACTCAAAGACACACAGACCACAGACACAGTGATTTTGGCTTCAGTCCTGCAGCTTCAGCCACAAGGCAAAAGTAAACACAGCAATACAATCCCAAGTCTCAAAAAGCTGTTCTTCCCAGTGGGCACTAAATTCTTAATTGACTTGAGCTCAAGACAAACAAGAAAGGATCAACAAACTGGGTTTTCTGTTGTTTGTTGTTGGAAAGTGACTAGATCTCAGTCATCCATCTGCAGAGATTACTAAATGGTCAGACGATAGAACCAAATTCTCATTTTTGTCAAGAACAGGTGATAACTTACTAGTCAGGCATGAATCAGAAATAAAAACACAAACACAAATTCAGCAAAGATTAGAAAAATAAGACAAGAAAAACAAGAGAGTGAATAAAATTAAAGTTCTGTTGCTGCTCGGAACTCACTCTGGGGACCAAGAAGGGACAGGCCCTGGCGCCCGCAGCCCAGGCAGTGCCCTGCGGTGGCGTGGCCGCCTGGCGCGGCGGGCAAGCCCGCTGGGTGTCCCGGCGGGCCTTAGAACAGTGGAGGGGCATTGTTAAAAAGGTACAATCATGACTCTCATATAAATATAAAAGAATATATGTCAGAGATCTTATGTAACTATTAATTGACTAGAGGGTCAGTTCCAGGGTCCGTACTCTCCACCGGACAAAACCGATCCGCGCGTCCCTGAGCACCTCCCCTCAGCACGGACAGGACACGTCCGCGCCCCAGCAGCTTCCGTGAAGCGACTTCCGTCTCCGCAGAGTGGCCGGCCCCGCGCAGACGCAGAATCAGACAACTCCGGCGGGGCGGAGTTCCACTGAGAGGGTTCTCTGTCTTCCGGTTTCCCGTCGCGAGCTCTTCTTCCGGGGGAAGGATGGAGGGAGTGCAGCTGCCGCGGGGTGGGGCCCGCCGACCGGCCAGCTGCTCACCAGTTTTTACACGGGCTGGCCCCAGGCTCCGGGTGCTGTCCAGAGTGGGCTCAGTCCCTGGCTCCTCCCAGGTGGCTTCTTTCTTCCCGGGGAAAGAGACCGACAGTGTTGGTGCGGGTGGGGTCGGGAGTGGGGTGGAAGTGGAGGGACATCCCTGAGAGCAGGCTTCCTGGCTCCCTGCCGGCACGCGCAGTTGTTCCTCTATTCCTGCAGTTTTCCTGGACAGTTGCATGGAATGTTCACAAATAAAATTTTATCTAGCCGGGCGCGGTGGCTCACGCCTGTAATCCTAGCTCTTGGGAGGCTGAGGCGGGCGGATTGCTCAAGGTCAGGAGTTCAAAACCAGCCTGAGCAAGAGCGAGACCCCGTCTCTACTATAAATACAAAGAAATTAATTGGCCAACTGATATATATATAAAAAAAAAAAATTAGCCGGGCATGGTGGCGCATGCCTGTAGTCCCAGCTACTGGGGAGGCTGAGACAGAAGGATCGCTCGAGCCCAGGAGTTTGAGGTTGCTGTGAGCTAGGCTGACGCCATGGCACTCACTCTAGCCTGGGCAACAAAGCCAGACTCTGTCTCAAAAAAAATAAAATAAAATAAAAAATAAAATAAAATAAAATTTTATCTTGAATGTGTTCGGGGAGTTTGCACAGAATTGAATACTATGATGATTTTTTAAACTGAATATACCTTTTTGCTTATTGCAGAAGTGATTTTGAATGTTCTTAACAACGGAAAGGGCACAGACAGTGACAATCAAGCTCCAGCCCTGACCCATGGGAATGGATGTGAGTAGCAATCCTGGACTAATGTCCAGGTTGGCTCATCTGTTTCCTTCCTGTGGATTTCATCTTGCTCATTAAAGAAAAGCCAGAACATGCCCCAAATGAAGACAATCTCAGTATATATTGTATATATTCTTGTATATATTCTTTGAGGTCTTTCTACTTATTTGTATTTTACTACTTATTTTCAAATATGGATTAATACTGTTATTTTGCAGTTAGAATGAAGTATCGTGAATATCAGCTACATGCACATCTGAAACCCCTTTCTTAAGATGGATCACCTTCCTTGGGCTATGTAGATCCATCATCATTCACTGCTGTCATCTCCTGTTGTTGGATGCTTAAGCTGTTTCCAGTTTTTTTTTTTTTTGGCGAGACAGACTCTCACTTTGTTGCTCTGGCGTGAGTGCCCTGGTGTCAGCCTAGCTCACAGCAACCTCAAACCCCTGGGCTCAAGCAATCCTCCTGCCTCAGCCTCCCAAGTTGCGGGGACTACAGGCATGTGTCACCATGCCCAGTTAATTTTTTCTATATATTTTTAGTTGTCCAGCTAATTTCTTCCTATTTTTAGTACAGACGGGGTGTTGCTCTTGTTAAGGCTGGTCTCAAACTCTTGACCTCGAGAGATCCTCCCCCCTCGATTCTCAGAGTGCTAGGATTATAGGTGTGAGCCACCCGGCAGGGCCGCTGTTTCCCGTTTTAACTATTACGAACTTCATATCTGTAACTTATTCTCTGTTTGTATCCTCATTTATCTTCTCAGGGCAAATTTCCCAAAATGGAATTTCTAATTTCTGGATCAAAGGACATGCATCTTTAAAAAAAATATTTTATTATTATTATTTTATTTTGGGATAGTTTCGAGTCTCTATATAAATAATGAACATAGAGAGTTTCCATATATCCTGCACCCACTTTCCCCTGTTATTAACATCTTACATTAGGCCCAGCACAGTGGTTACAATTAATGAGCACATATTGATACATTATTATTTACTGACATCCATACTTCATTCAGATTTCCTTAGTTAGTCCCTAATGTCCTTTTTCTGTCCCAGGCTCCCATCCAGGGCACCACATGACAGTCATCATGTGTCCTTAGTCTTCTCTGAGCTGTGATAGTTTCTCAGACTTTCCTTGCTTTTGATGGCCTTGACAGTGTGACGGGTCAGGTATTTTGTAGAATGTTCCTCAACTGGGATTTGTCTGATGTTTTTCTCACTATTAGACTGGGGTTTGTGTTTTGAGGTTGAAAGCCACAGAGGCGAAGTGACATTTTCATCACATTATATCAAGGGTTGATGCTATCAACATGACTTTTCACTGTTGGTCCTGACCTTGATCACCTGGCTGAGATGGTGTTTAAAGTTTTTCTCCCTCACCCCTTTCTCTACCGTGCTCTCTGGAAGGAAGTCACTGTGCACAGCCCACACTTGAGGGGTGGGGAGTTATGCTCCATATTCTAAAGGGAGAAATATTGCACAAGTTATTTGGAATATGTCTGTATGGGAGGCTTGGCGATTCTCCCCATTTATTTATTTAATCAACTGTTCATTTATATCAGAATAGATATAGGGCTATTGATTTTATACTCTGGGTTATAATTAAATGCTGTTTTATTTTGTTGCTCAAATTGTTCCAGCTTTTGTTAATGGGAGGTAAGCTCTTTCCACTGGCTCTTGTATCTCCTTTTTTTTTTTTTTTTTGAGATAGAGTCACTGTGTTGCCCGGGCTAGAGTGCCATGGCGTCAGCTTAGCTCACAGCAACCTCAAATTCCCGAGTTCAAGCGATCCTCCGGCCTCAGCCTCCCGAGTAGCTGGGACTACAGGTATGTGCCATCATGCCCAGCTAATTTTTTTCTATTTTAAGTTGTTGGGCTAATTTATTTCTATTGATAGTAGTGATGGGGTCTCGCTCTTGCTGAGGCTGGTCTTGAACTCCTGAGCTCAAGCAATCCTCTTGCCTCGGCCTGCCCAGAGTGCTAGAATTACAGGTGTGAGCCACCGTGCCCAGCCGCTCCTGTGTCTCTTGACGCACCCCTCATTGTGGGCTTTTTATCTACAAGCACTTTCATATTTTCTGGCACTGCAAGATGCTCTAGGCTGATCTTGTGTATTTCTTGCACCAGTCCTAGAACCAGTAGTTTCTCTAAGGAGCCCAGGACACACATTTTCAAAGGTTTTTGATACATGTTGCCAAATCATCCACTTAGACAATTTATAATCCAGTTGGGAGTGTATGAGTGCTTATTTCTCATTATACTGCAATGACCTAAAAATAATATTTCATCACTGCTTTAATTTAGTTCCTTTAATAATTAGCGACCCTTCTAATTTTTGTAAGTTTATTAGTCATTTGTAATTTGGCAAATTGCCTTTTCAAGTCCTTAACCCATCTTTCTATTAGAGTGTTCTCTTGTATCTTCACACTTTGTGAGAACTATTTATCTAGAATGTAGATTAGCCTTTTGATTATCATAAAAATTGCACATAGTTGCCTCAGTTACTTATTTGCCTTTTGAATTTATAGATTGTTTTTGATTTAAAAACTATAAAAGGCTTTTTAAGATGGGAAATTTTAAACATGTGCAAGAAAGATGATGTAATGAAAAGCTCATGTACCTATCCCCCAATCTCAGTAATTATCAAAAATTTGGCATCCTTATTTGAACTACCCGTCTCTCACTTATTATTTTGAACTGGAGTCTTATAAAGTAAATTCCAGACAGTATGTCATTTTACCTATAAGTACTACAGTATGCATCTCTAACTAGAGCATTTAATATAAAAACATAAATACCACACATGACACTTATGAAAATTAAGCCACAGTTCCTTGATATCATCTAAGTACATAGTTCATGATCAAATTCTCCAAAATGTCTTTTAGAGTTGATTTGCCTCAGTCAGGATTCAAACAGGGAATACACATTAGAGTATGGATCAAATACCCTATATTCTTTTTTGTTTTATTCTCCATTATTGTTACTTGTAAATGTGATTAATTTGCTGGAGAAATGATTTCACTGGATCTGTAGAATGTCCTGTATCCTGGATTTGGATGGTCGGTGCCTAGAGGGCTTTTCAAACTTGTCCCTGTATTTCCTATAAACTAATGGTCGGATCCAGCGACTTGATTAGTTGGATTCAAGTTCACTTTTTAAGGCAAGAACACTTTGTAGGGGTGCTGTGGCTTCCTGTGGGATTCCATGGGGGAGGCTCACTGTATCTGCTCTACTTTTAGTGATGCTAAGAGTGATCGGTAGGTGCAGGTGGGGGTCCCCCTGTTCCCTTCATTATAAAGTTCTTTATCAAAATTTCACCTCATCAACTCTTGTTTCCTCAGAAGTATAGTTTGGAAGGGAAAGGCAGAATGGGTGTCCCTTTATCAATTTTCAGAATAATGAACTGAAGTCCTAACAGAGTCCAATCATGAGCAAAGAGTTTGAAAACTGTTGTTAGGAACTTATGGAGTTTTACATATTAGTTGCATTTCATTCCATTTCAATCACTTGACTTTTTAGTGCTCAAAAAGTGGTCCCAAATTAACTCCTATGTATATATTAAGATTATTATCTCTTTATGGAGAGACATTCAGAAGACCTAAAAGCATGGAGAGATAAATGATGTCCATGAATCAGAAGGCTCAGTGTCACCATTTTCCCAAATACATTTATAGAGCTAATGCAATTCCTTTTAAAATTCCAATAAGATTCTTGGTGGAACTTGTCAAATACATTCAAAAGTTTATATGGAAATACAAAGGACCAAGCCAAGCTGCTCTTTAAAAAGAACAAGGTGGGAGGACTTGAGAAAGTCCAACAGAAATCAAGACCTGTTTTAAAGCCATAGGAATTAAGGCAGCATGTTATTGGTGCAAGGACCAAAAGGAAAAGCCATTGACCCAAAATACAGGCTTTTGATACAGACCCATACACCCATACTTTAATAGATCCCTAATTTATGGTTTTTTTGAGACAGAATCTCACTCTGTTGCCCTGGCTACAGTGCTGTGATGTCAGCCTACCTCACACAACCTCAAACTCCCGGGCTCAGGCAATCCTTCTGCCTCAGCCTCCCGAGTAGCTGGGACTACAGGCATGCACCACCATGTCCGGCTTATTTTTCCTATTTTTAGAGCAAGTAAGAGTAAGAGGGGTCTCATTCTTGCTCAGGCTGGTCTTGAACTCCTGAGCTCAAGACTCCTGATCCTCCTGCCTCAGCCTCCCAGAGTACTAGAATTACAAGGATGAGCCACCTTGCCCAGCCCAGCCCCCCAATTTATGGCAACATAAATTACAGATTTCTCAATAAATTGACAATTACAAATCCACGAGAAAAAAATGAATTTACATCCTTACCTCACACCATACACAATCTATTCTAGATGTATTAAAAACCCAAATATAGGACGTAAAGCTATACAAATTTTAGAGACTAAAATATCTTCATAACCTTGTAAGGTATTTTTTAAATAAGAAAGAAAACAAGCATTAACCCTAGAGGAGATGAATAAGACAAATTGGGCTATTTTCACAGTAGTGTGTGGAAGACTTCAGAGCGGTGTCCTCTGTAAACTCTGTGTCTAGCTTGTGACAGGGGAAGTAAGCACACTGAAAGTCGGCTTTTAGAAACTTTATGTCAATTTGACAGTGTATTTGATGTTTGTTTAATCTATCTAGTGATTAGAAAATAGAGCTTAGATTGTGAATGTCATTAATATTTTTAAAATCCTTTTGTTTAATTTTTGAACATACCAGTCTGCCACTGATTGAAATGAAAAGCAAACAAATGGAAAAACCAAAACTGGTTCATCACCACAGATAATTTAAGAACTATTGAAATAGACATCATGGAAATCAAGAAATTCTACTAAGGAAAAAACAACATAAATGGGAAAATGTAGCACATTAGACCAGGCTTCCTATCTCCATCTCCTGGGAGGGCCTGGAGGGTGAGGGTCATGAGATACTTAGGTTCTTGCATCCTCGCTCCTGTTG